ATAGGACCTTCGTGTTTCCTTAGTGGAAAAGCATTTGTTTATTTGTTTATAAAACTGGAAATTGCAATAACAGAAGGAAACCAGAAGTGTTGAAGCTTCAGATTCCATCTAGTCAACAAAACAAAACAAAACAAAACAAAACAAAACAAAACAAAACAAAACAAAACAAAACAAAACTACCTTACTGCTACTTCCATATTGGAAGTACCTACCAAGGTGCTTCTGGGTTGAAATAATTACCTAGTGATAGCACTTTGCCCACCATATGCCCTGGTGTGTGTATGACTTTTCATGTCCCTGATATTTTCCCACCGGTGGTACCTATTTACCTACTTTCATTTGCTTGCTTTTGATGAGCTAGGTTGGCAGGAGCTGGGGCAAGGAGAGCTCATTTTGTCATGAGGCTCAAATTTGCCTAATCAGAGGCAAAATATTTCCAAGCAAAATTTCAAATTTTAGGTAAATATGAGAAAGACCATCAGCAAATAACAACAGATTGCCAACTTCTAATGCACACGAGAGAGATATGTGCTGTGCCAGGGAAGATGGTAATGGAGAACCATTGAAAACAGACTTTGATGATCTATTGATATACAGGTAGTCCTCAACCTATGATCACAACTGAGTCCAAATTATCTGTTGCTAAGCAAGGCAGTACTTAAATAAGTTTTGCCTCATTTTATTATCTTTCTTACCACAGTTGTTAAGAGAATCCCTGCAGTTGTAAGGTTAGTAACATGGTTTTAAAGTGAATCTGGCTTCCCCATTGACTTTGTTTGTCAGAAGGTTGGAAAAAATGATCACATGACTATGGGATACTGCAATCATCATAAATACATGGCAGTTGCCAAGCATCTGAATTTTGATCACATGACCATGGGAAAAATTGTCATAAATCATTTTTCTTAGTGCCGTTGTAACTTGGAATGGTCACTAAATGAAAGGTTATAAGTTGAGGACTGCTTCTATGATATACAGCAGGAAATGCCTTTATTTTTCTTTTAGTTTCTCTAAGCACATAACTGACCTTAATTATCATTAATTTTTTTTTTTCTAATCAGGTTTCATAAAGTGATAGGGGACTGAAAATTCTATTACATTTAATATATGTAATACATTTGCACTTTTGCACTTTCTATAGTTAAGAAGCGTAACTTACTTAATTTCAAATTCACAGGTAGGATGAGAATCAAATATTTGATACCTAATTATACATGACTCTTTATAAAATACAGGAAAAAGTATTCACTTAAAAACAAGGAATAATTCACACAAAATATGGCTTTAATATAGAATTCTGAAAACCTGCTTTCGTTTCATAAAAAATATATATATTGTATATACAACAAATGTGTAAGTCCAGAAACCAATGAAAGAAGATCTGAAATGGAAGAGGCTCATTTTCCAGTTAGTTGTAGAAGGGCTTTCTCTGTACTCCAGCCTAGACTTTGGAATAATCATAGAACATAGCATAATAGAGTTGGAAGGGACCACGGAAGTCTTCTTGTGAGTTTTATTTTTATCATCCCATAGGAATGTATGCCAGCCTGCTTGCAAATCATGGCCTTCGAAGGTCAAAATTCTTTTATTCTTTAGCTCTATCCAATCCTTCACCAATGTTATTGTTACTGCTCATTCGTATAAATCCCAATTCGGTAATGCTAAGCCTCCCCTCTCCTTTCTGTCTTGCATTGACTTTAGTTTAATCCTCGCTTTTCGTCCCTGCCAAATGTACCTAGCGGTTTTTTTGTTAAATTCTTGAAAGAATTTTTTTGAAAGAATTTTTTTGAAAGAATTTTTAATAGGAGCTGCTTGAATCAGGAATAAAAAAGATNAGAGATGGTTAAAGTATCAGCATATCTCAAGGATTATTCAGACAAGAAATATAAACTGGAATGGAGAAGATGGATTGATTATATTCAAAATAAATATGGGACTAAGAAACTCCAGATAGCTTATGACCGAATAAGCAAGGAATGATACAACTTGTTTAAAGTTAGCTTTACAAAGGGGAGTTAAAGCACGAGTGAGGGATGATACTAAAGTCTGTTAGTTTATTTTAGAATATGGTTGTTAAATGTTTATATCTTGTATTTGCTCTGGGAGGTTGGGGGGGGAGGTGGGTTCGGGTGGGGGAGGGGAGGTATATATTTGTAAAAGTTTTTAAAAAACTTTTAATTAAAAAAAAAAGAAACTTGAAATTTACTTCAGAACAAATGGAGGGAATGTGGTCCTGGTCCTTTCAGTTCTCTTTCAGCAACACCCTATACAACTGACCAAGGCATCCTTCTGAATGATTCACAAGAGCCCTTCCTGAATCAGATACTTAAAAGGGGAAATTGGTTAAGTCCTTGGCCATACCAGTGTCAAGCGCTGCATGACTCGGCTCTCTCTCCCATGTGCGAAAGTTGTATTTCATGGTTTCTCAATATGTCAGTAAAAACTCTGTGAGAAGTGTATTCCAGGGTGATGGTGATGGTGGTGGTGGTGGTGGTTGTGTGTTAGTGGTTTACTACATAGTTGGGAAAGAAAGAAGATTAGAAACTTGTTTCTATAAATAGGACTAGTTCTTGAATCACTAAAATTCTTCAGTATTACATATTCAGAATTCCTTTTTTCTTATCGATTTATCAAAATATATTTGAAAGTATAAAATTTGACAATATTATTTAACATATATATAGCACCATTTGTAATAATTGAATTACTTGCCCCATGCACTTATGAGTGCGCTGGCTTGGTCTCCTCTGTCCTTACACAGTAGGTCCCATCAATGATTATTTGGCTGAGAACTCCCAAAATTTGCTCTGCAACTAAAACGTGAAACTAATAACAGGGAAGTTGAGTTCTAAGTTGCAAAGCATTATTTTACTTAATGTGATTTGAAAACTGAAAAGTGTTTTGAAGTCAAATTTCCTTGTTTTTCCTTTTTGTTTAGAAAAACAGCTTCAGAATACAAGACTCCTATTCAACAAAGAAACTGTCCAGCACCTTGAAGATGCTGTCAAAGCCATTAAAAAATTGGTAATATCAAAATCTTTTAAAAGTATTGTTTTTAGATATTTAAAAAGTACATGTGATTACAAAATTTGGGTTAGACTAAATTGTCTTGCGTTGAATCTGTGGATGAATATTTATGTACTGGATGTACTGTTATTAGAGTACAGTGTTGCTGTAAAGAGAAGATCTGTGCTAGGATAATGATGGGCTTAAAAAAAACCTTGTACACAATGTACCTTACAACTCATTCTCTCTCCTATGCCCTCTGTTCAACTTGCTTTTTCAGGCGGTGCTGGATTCAAATCTGATTTCAAAATCTTAACATTTTATTAAGGTTGCTGAGAATATTTAGTCATGCCATTATCTCCCACAGTTGTGGGGGTGGGGGAGGAAAGAATACAGGTAATCCTTGACGTTTGACCATAATTGAGCCCAGAATATTATACTCATCACTCAATGGTAGTCATTAAGCAGGTCACCATGTGGCCGGACCTGATTTTATGACCTTTTATGTGGCAATCATTAAGCAAATGCTGTGGTCATTAATCAAATGGCATGGTCATTAAGCACATGCATTTTAGCCAGTGGACCTTTTTTTTAATGGAAACTGGAAATAAATGCCAGTTTCTGAGGAAAAAAGCCAAAAATCATGGTAATATGACTGTAGGATACTAGATAGTTGTAAGTGTGGGCCAGTTGCCAAGTGCTCAAAATGTGATAATGTGACCTTGGGGAGGGGCAGCCATTGGAATTTCAAAACTGGGTCATAAATCGTTCTGGAGAAATCCACTGTAACTTCAAATTGCCTTGCCCATTTACTGAAATGTATTACAGATCTAAGCAATGATTTTTTTATACAAACTTTATCACTAAGGAAAAAAAAGTCAGATACAGCCATCAGATTTTTTTCCTTTGTCATATATCTGTCAATTTTTAGGAAAAGGAAAGAAAAGATACAATTGAATTGTTGGAAGAAGAGACCATAAAAAACTGTAATCTCCGTATCAAAGTCCAGACTTTCCCAGCAATTGTTATGAAAGAATTTGAAGGTATTTTTAAGATAATCCATTTTTTTCTTAAAATAGTGAAGTATAGTATAGAATGCAACATATGGTTAATACGATTTGCTAATTATGATAATTTATTTTAAGAACTATGCAGTTTGACAGACAGCTTTACCTTACTTGTTTTGATTAATATTTGGATTTGGATCATAGAAATTGAGCTATAAGAGGAAACTAAGAAAGAATATATAAATAGTTTTACCGATATTATTTATACCTGATTTAGAAAAAAATGTGAAACCAATACATATCTGGGGTTTACATACTATTTAATCCCAGATTCCCACTAATATTATCTCCAAACTGATCTGAAAAAAAAAGGATTTAAATTTTAATAACCTACTGTTCAAGGCATTCTATAGGATGAGTCCTGTAGAAGACCAGAGAAAGTTTGTGATGGAGAGCCAAGAGTGAATTATGTTTGGCCTTAATGCATTTAAATATTACCAAGATTTTCCAAGTATTCAAAGTATAGGAATAAATCTATGGATCCTTTGCTTTGCTTCAATCATTGGCCAAAGAGGTATTAGAATAAGTGACGTGAATATTGAAAAATAACTTTGCTTTACAAGAGCATCAAGAAATTCATGGAACACGAAACATTGTTCACCATACTGCATATATTGCAAATATTGAAGCTCCATATGTGGAATTAATAGATCATTCAATATTATCTGGCAAATAATAAAAACAGCCATGCTTTTATATTTCAGCTTTCAAGACATCAGTATTTTGAAGGACTTGTTTCTGTGGAAACAGATCTATGCAGTATAACCGAAATATCTAGATAGAATGAAGACTCAATCCAAGTATCACTTCAGTGTGGCTAGCCTTTAGTTTTATCTGGGCCTTGTTTCCTTTTGTTTACTATAATTTCTAGATGATTCATTTGGCACTTCAGGTTATCACAGATCTGGTAATTTATAGAAAATTGAAAATGGATTTAATATTTTATTTCTTTCTGTTTTAAAATCCCTTATTTTAGAACTTGTGGCTGCTGCCCAACGATTTCATGTTAACAAGTTAAGAGAAGTAGAAGCTTCTATGAATGAAACTATTGCTGCAGTACAAGAGGTGTACACAAAGCAAATGTTCTCTGAAGAACAAAATGAAACACTGTGGTAGGCACTATGTGGTAAAAATAGGCACTATGTGGTAACAACTGTAATATTCAATTCCTTATCCTAAGGCCCATATATTTTCTACTGTTATTTTACTTATCTAAAAGAATCTGTACAAAATAACAAAACATCTAACTGAAAGCTTCAACAATTGGTTTCAGTGTTTATGAAATATCTGCATTTGAGAGACTACTCTTATTTCTGCTAAATTTAATAAGGAAGTATCTGTAATCCACTGTTGGGAAAAGTTACTTTTAATATTTTTGGTGTCTCATTTGCATAGCAAAATTGTGCGAGCGCGCACAATTTTGGCATGCCTTTAGAAAAAGGTTAGTCATCACTGACCTAGAAACTACCATACATTGATCACACTTGTTGATGACCTTTATAGATAGGCCAGGATCAGAGGGGTGCAATCTTCAAGTCCTTGATTTCTCAATAGTTTTAACATTCCTTCTGGAATGCCTTGGCGAGATTGTAGTAGTGGGCGCTGTTTTGTAGTGGTGCTACTTCTTCCAGAGGGCATGGTTTTCAGTACGTGGTATTATCAGGGTACCAGATGATGATAACCCAGCAAAGAAGTGATTCAGTAGAAAGCTGAACCAGTACTCTGAGGCTTTTAGGATCTGGATGAGAAAGAACAGACTCAAAATGAATCCCTGCAAGAAAAGTGGCTTTGGGTTTATGATTCCAAGAAATACGATCTTTGACTATGAATGGATTGGTATTTCTATGTTCAGAGTTGATTTGCACTTGACGTGGTGGGTATCCTACTCAATCAAACAGAGTGATCTGTTTGCAGTCAATCAGATCTTAAACATCTCTTACTTGGATTTTTATAATGTGTTCCACTTAGGGCTCTCCTTAGAAAGCATTTGGAAGGTACAATTGGTACAAAGTGTGATAGTCAAACAATAGTGAGTATCCCAGTTCAGTATAAACAGATGAATTCACAATTTTGGGAATGTATTGATTACTATTTGGCTTCCAGATCGTTGTCACCTTGAAGGCCTTTCTTGGTTCAGGACTAGATTATCCAAAGGTGCTTTCTCCAAATTAATTTTCCCATGGAATCAGATCAAATAAAGTCAGTACTGTCCCCACCCCCCTATTTTGTAATTCTGTCTGATCTCCTTCCGTACTGAGTTCAGAAGAATAATTGAGCCTTGGTTGTTTTATCTAGCACACCAGAAGGGCACGTTGTGAATGAAGGTTGAAACTGAAGGACACTTCAGTTTATATGTTTTCTGTACATTATTTTGATATTGCCAATGTTATTTATATACTAAGGTTTATATTTTGATGGTTGCAATTTTGTTTATATTATGGGCGACTTTATTATTTTTAAGAGGGAAGTTTTTTATTTTGTGCTAATCTTGATTGTTAGCTATCCAGAGCCTTTGGTAATGTCTGACATACTAACTAGGTAACTAGTTAGTTAATTGGATGGACGGATGGATGAATGTTGGCTTATGTTGTTCACTGTCATTTTTAAGATTTCTTCATAATTTTCTTTTGGCAGTAAAGAGCAAGATCAAACATGGGCCAAATATAATGAAATTGTGCAATTATTAAACCAACAAATGGCTAGAAAGCATTCCATGAACATTAAAATAAATGAACTTCGTAATATGACAAAAAAAGAGGAAGATGAAATGGTCATGGAAAGGATTGCCATTGAAAACCTAAAGCAAGTAATGGCTACAGAAGCCCTTCAGTTTAAAGAAAAGAAAGCCACGTTACAGCTAGAGGTACAGTTTTAGGAATTGAACCTTAGCACTGCATTAATGAAAGTATCAGTCTTGGAGCCATCCATCCAGTGGGTTTTCAGAAAAATTCTCCATGGTTTAAATTAAACTAAAATTAAAATTATCTATATAGTGCAATACATTGGAATTGAGTGTGAAGCCTTATACATGAAAAACATGTGCTCAATCATGTAAATGTAAAACATTTCTGCTCATTATAATTTAGAGATTTTCCTATCTTAAATCTAGGCTGCCTCTATATAATTTGCTAAAATATATCCATGAACATAAATCCCAACATTTCTGAAACAATCCTTATCTGTTTTAATATCTATCTAACAATGCTGGAGGGTTCCATAGAAAGTGTTAAATAATGTACAACAGTTTTAATTATATGAAAGTTGGTTTTGACTGTAGATTGAAGAACTTAAGGAAAAACTTCAGATGAGAAAAAATGAGGCTATGGAAAAGAAGAAAGAATTTGATGAGTTGCTTAAAATACTATGTCGTTTACAAAAGAAAGTTTCAGATCTTAATCGGGTAAGTTGAATTGTGCCTTTGGTAATGTGCCATTTCAAAGTCATATCCACTGAGCGTTGTCTTTTTCCAATATAAAATGAATTGAAACTATATAAATACAGGGATTGAACATTTTATTTACATACATATTTATTAAATTTGTAAGGTTACCCATCTATCAAAGAAACACTACAAAGAAATCAGTAATGGCCAGTGGTAGGATTCAAATAATTTAACAACCGGTTCTCTGCCCTAATGACCAGCTGGGTAGGCATGGCTCGGTGGTCATGTGACTGAATGCGCGTGGCAACTTGACGTCACTCACATCAATGGGCGGTTCGCCTTAGCTGTTGCAATGTAATAAGGGTTAACCGGAGAGGCAGTTTCTGTAAGCAGGGCAATAAAGATTAGGCTAGAAACAACACCAGAATGCTCCTTCCTGCCTTCCTTACAGGATTAGCCCTGTAAAATGGAAAAAACCAAAATGAGATTTCTTCCAACAACCGGTTCTCTGAACTGCTTGGAAAGTTACTAACCGGTTCTCCCGAATAGNGGAGGCGTGAGCTTAAATGGACTCCAGATGATGGTAGAGGACAGAAAGGCCTGGAGGAATGTTGTCCATGGGGTCACGATGGGTTGGACACAACTTCACAACTAACAACAATATAATATTAAGAAAACGCATTATTGTGCTACGTATAGGAATATATAGCATCAAAAGCAAATGGTGTGAGTGCTTGTATTTTTAGGCAGTGGTTCTCTGTAGGAATTACTTGTGATTTTTTTTTTAATAGAATCTCTCTGTTAGATCGTGGGAACAGGCAGACTCAGGCTTCAGTAATAACAGCTCTTTATTAATGACTCAGAATCCAGCAAAGACCCTGTCTGGCAACAGCCCTTTTATACCGCTCAGACAGGGCCACTGACCAATCAGGTTTGAATGAGTTCCTGCTGGTAACAGTGGACCTGAGTGAAAACTACTTACAAGGCTATTTACATGTAGATTACTCCAAGTACTTAACACTCTCTGTTGACATTTTTATACAACTGCGGTAACTTGATTTTTCTAAAAAAGAAAAATGTTGGTGCAAAGTATGTAAAGTGACACAAGATAAACTGTGCTTGATGGCTTTTTTCTCTGTATAGAACAAGGTGGTTTTATTTGATTACTGTTTTTCAGGCTTTCTCTTCGGGGCAGTATAGTTTCATTAGATGCAGACTTTGATGAAGAAAAAGAAAATTTGCTACAGCAGCTAGAGGAGGTAAAAGAACAGTTCATGCTACTGAGTATGGAAATGATGGATAATGGAAATAAGGAATACTGGTCATGGCCCTCAGTGCCTATTTCTTAAAACCCTATTTTTGTACTGATTAACTATTTTGTGGGTAGAGGCCAGGGTAGTTCTGCCCCATCCTTTCATTGAAGTGAGCAGTATAGGAGCTTCTTTTATATGTAACTATGTGCACATAACTGGTTGCTAACAGAAACTTTTGCTTAATGAAAGCTTCTTCAATATCAATCCATTGCATGCAATAATGTGTATTTCTTAACATTATCTTCCAACTTCATTCTTGAAATATAGACATATAGGTGAATAATTGTCATGGTTTCTGCAACCAAAAATACTAATGGTGTTTAGAAAAATCAGTGGGGAAATAATATCCATACTATTGCTGCTAATGTATGAATTGACTCTAATTTCATTTACCTGAGTAGAACTAAATTAATTTAAGAGTAATATTCGGTGAAATTAAGCAGACGTTAAGTCCTCCCTGTGCCTGATTTCATTTTTTTACACTTAATCTAAGTAAATAAATAACTGCTATATCTTGGTCCTTATACACACCAGGTGCACTTTTAGAAAATAAAGAAAGATTAAAGCAACAACCTAAAACTTTGTTTTGATCTATATAAAATGTGTGTGTGTGTGTGTGTNGAAGATCAATCTCATATAGAGTGCATTGCAGTAATCTATTCAGGGGTATCAAAAACTGATTAACTATAGTCACTACCCCAATCTAAGAAGGGGTGGAATTGGTGTACTATATGGAGTTGTGCAAAAGCCCCTTTTCCATAGCTACCACCTGCTCTTTATGTGATTTGACGAGGCCTCAAAATTTTATGCTGGTTTTATGCTGGTTTATGCTGGGATATTGGAATGGGATGCAGAATTACCGGATTCAAGAGGCCCTAACACCCAAAGCCACTTAGTCTTGGAAGGCGTAAGAGGAAATCTGTTTATCCCAATCCAAATTCCCAAACTTTCAGGCCCTGAGATAGAATCTCCATAGCGGCAGTGTCCTTGCAGTGTCCCCCACAGCACCTGCACACCTGCCCAAACTCCATAGTAACTGACCCTGGCAACTTCCTGTGACAGCCATGTACTTTCCAGCTCCTTGCTTGAACCCCCCCCACCCCCCCATTAAATAACCTGGAAGTCCTGGAATCATGACAGCAACTGGGATTGCCATACTTACTGTTGCTAATTGATGCAGTCACATGAAAAAATCTACATTGCTTAGCAATGGAAATTCTAACCAATTGTAACCAACGACTCTCTGGACTTCAGTGCTTTAATACTTTAATAGGAGCAATATGAACTTTTACTAATTAGCAGTATCAGTATAAAATGAGTTTTTTATATAGTTACCATTCATACTATTGTTTTATTTGTATTTTTCATAGATTTTTACTAATTTGAAAAAGGAGTTAGAAGAACTATTAAAAACCATCAAAAATCTAATACAAGAGCATGAGAGGAAAAAGCTTGAGAAAGAGGAGCTTATTAAAAAAAGGTAAGCCAGATGTATTTTTCTGTTGCCATTGCACTTGAGTCTTTTATCTCTTGTCGCTAATATATATACTGATATATAAATATATCTTGTTGAAAGCAGGCCTTCATATCTTCTAGAAGATATAAAATATTATAGCAAATAGTAATTAGAATATGATTTACATTCAAATTAATTTATTAGCTTAATTTGAAAAATGTTGACTCAGAAGTTGTGTTTTATGAAGCATTACTTATCATATATGAACTGGGATGCAATAACTTCTTCAACAAACCAAATTTTAAGGCAAATCATGATTTAGTACAATGCAACACATGTTGCTGAAAAAGCTTTTCAACATTTTCTTACTTAATCCTTTTACACAGCACATGCCAGCATAAGTTCTCCTTCCATACAATTGGATTTTGCTATTCACATATTACGTATTAACATGTACCCTCTTTCTCCAAAAATAAGACTTCCCCAGATAATAAGCCCAAGTGGGATTTTGAATGCATGCGCTACAATAAGCCTTCCCCCGAAAATAAGTCCTTCCTGAAAATAATGCAACACAGTAGCAGCCATGAGGTGACCACACTCGCCACCTCCTGCACCTCAAAAATAATAAGACTTCCCTGAAAATAAGGCCAAGCGCTTATTTTGGGGGGTCAAACACGGTAATGATTAACATCAAAATGAGTTTAGTAATCCTAGACACATGAGTGCACTTTACCTTCGATTGATTTTGGAAAGTTATCTAATACACATCTATTGCTTGCCAGCTTCCCCATTAACAAAAAAGAAAAATCAATAATGGTATTTATGGAAAAGATCTTGGAATAATAGTTGATTGCAAAGTTAATATTAACCAGCAGAGAGAGATGGGTGCAAGAAAGACAAATTTTAGGCAGCACCAGAGGTGGGTTCCTCCCGGTTCAGTCCGGTATGCCAGAAGAGGCAGTGAAAATCTAGCAGACTGGATCGGACCAGTAGTAATGTTCTCCTGTCAGAAGTTTCGTCAGAAGCCTTTTTTTAAAGCCTTTTTTTCCTGCTGGTTCAGGCAGGGTTCTATGTTTTTGAAGTTTTGGGGTTTGTGCAATGTGGGCTTTGTGTTTGGATGATTTCCTGCTTGTGTGAATGGAGCCAAACTTTTTTGTTATTATTTTTATTAACAAACATGTAAAATACACAAACACAAAACTTAGACGTACGCCACATTTACAC